GTAATATTTATTTTTTAAAGACTTATTTATTTATGCATACAAGAACTGGGGTACAGGCCAGAGGTGTGGAGGGTGAGAGGATTCACCAGAGACAGAGTTGGGAACAGAACAGGCTGACTAACTGAAATACGCTGCTGAGAGGAGCAGCAGGCGAGACAGGAGAGGTCTGCTGCGCCATGTGGGTAGCTCCCTGGCCAGGCTGCAGAGGCTGCTGATAGCGTCACAGTGCTGTGCTACCCTTTGTGCCACCAGGGAGGCCCTAGATGTCTGTTTTGTTTTTTTTTTTTTAACTGGCCCAATTTTATAAAGGATTTTGCAAATTGTCGACAGATGGGGCCAGCTTGTCACAATCCCTGTCTGTGAAAGGCCCAGGAATGGGAAGTTTAGGTGTCAGTGGAGTCTCTCCTGACACACAGCCCAGTGATCCGGAATCGCACTTTAACGGGGAGCTAGTCCCTCAGGCTGTTGATGCGCATGAGCCAGGGCACTGCCCACTGGGGAGAGTCTCCTCCAGGGCAGCTTGGTCGATGCGAGCCTGCTCCGAAGTCCCGAGTGTCCTGGCTCACAGGCCGGTGCACCTGATGGCCGTTTGGAACAACCGAGGGAGCCAACCTGGGGATGCCGCTGCTGTGGAAGCAGCCGAGAGGACTAAGGATATGATTCCAGCCTGAAAGTGCCTCTATGGTGGTTGTGGGGCTCCAGGAAAGCCAGAACGATTTGACTGAAGGGAGAGCTGCCAGCCCGGGGGCTAGTCAGGTGACTGGAATCCAGGCAGGCATATGTGGTTTAATCCAGAAAACTGTTTGGACAAAATGGAAGGAACAATGCAAGGGCTGCCGAGAGTGCCCTTGGAGAAGGTGGTATTATCTTGGGACTATAGGGGAAGAGTTGGAGGAAAAAGACACAAATAGGGAGAGGAAGTGCAGACCTCACAAGCCCAGAGATCTTTCTCCAAAGCCTGAGCCCTTAGATATTCATTACCCTGGCAGGGGCACATTTGCACTCTAAAGCAGGGAGTATAGAAGCTGGAGACTCCAGAGCAGTTCTCTGGGGTGCCAGAGTCAGGCGGGATCTATTCCTCCCAGAAACTTTGAGTCTCAGTCCAGGCTTTGTCCAGCGCCACTTCAGCTGATTCCCAGGTCAGCCTGACAGTTTTACTGGAAGACATTGCAAGACCTGGGATGCGATCATCTCTTTAGGCGAGATAACTTACACAAACACACACTTTTGTTTTCTTTTAGGCAAGATGACATTATATTTTAGTTGCCTTACAATAAGAAGCCAAAAGTAAACCTGAAAGTTGAGTGATTTTATAAAAAATGACTTTAGGGGCCTCCCTGGTGGCGCAAGGGTTAAAGACACAGCACTATCAAGCTATCACCAGCCACTGCAGCATGAGTTTGATGCCCAGCCAGGGAGCTGACCCACATGGCGCAGCAGACCTCTCCGGTCTCACCTACTGCTCCCCTCTGCAGTGTATTTCAGTAGATCTGCCTGTTCTGCTGCCCACTCTCTATGATGAATCCTATCACACACACACCCCAACTCTGATCTACACCCCAGGTCTTGTATGCATAAATAAATCTTTTAAAAAAAAATGACTTTAGGGACCTCCCTGGTGGCACAAGGGGTTAAGACAGAGCACTATGAAGCTACCTGCAGCTACTGCAACACAAGTTTGATCCCTGGCCAGAGAGGTAACCCACATGCTGCGGCAGACCTCTCCTGTCTGGCCTGCTGCTCCCCTCACCAGTGTTTTTGGTCCCTCTGCCTGTTCTGCTCCCGACTCTGCTCCCCACTCTGTCTCTGGTGAATGCCCTCACCCCCACACCTCTGGCCTGTACCCCAGTACTTGTATGTATAAATAAATAAGTCTTTAAAAAAATTGTTGTAGAGCAACCCCAATACAAAACGGGATGCCTGACTGTGGGTCCTCACCTGCGCGCTTAAAAGGACTTATCAATGCTCTACTGCAGGCACATGCGAAAGGTTCATAAAAGGTTTATTGACAAGGGAAGGGGAAATGAGGAAATGTACAGCTCAGGAAGAAAAGTGGGAGACAAAGTTTTAAATGAGTCCTACCCGATCCACCAATCAGGAATCCCAAATGGCGCTCTGAGAGCTGGCCACCAGCCAGGAGCCATGAAGCCAGGAGGCCAGCGATACCGAGCCCCCCAAGGCCCACGTGTTTGGTTTTTATATCCAACCTGGCTGCCCAACTCCACCCTCAGGTCCCAGCCACCTTCCCTTTGGTGGTGATGGGATTTGTCTTTCCCAATGTCTTGATGGCTTTAGTCTGGAGTGGGGGTGGGGTCCACAAAGCCTGTATGGGATTAGCTCAGGACAGCCTTTCCCCCTAACAAAAGGACTTTAAATGCTCAACAAATTCTCATTATAAAGCTTAGCAAAACCTGAGTTGTAGGAGAGATTTAACCACCATTGGAACCATGATTAAAAGAACAAATTCAAGAGGGGATTGGGGCTCACCCAGTGCAGGAGAGACTGGCAAAGGTGGGTTCCACCTCTGCTTTGTTAACCCCTGAGGGTTAGTTGCCATATTATCCTCTCATCGGATTGTCCTTTCTTTTCTTTAAAATCAGAAAGATAAACTTGTTAAATGAAGAGGTAGTGTTACAGGGCAGGGAGAGGGGCAGCCCAGACCCCGCAAACCTGCCTGCTCTAAATGGGTTCAACACAAAGCATGAGACCTTAATGGGAAGGAACTTTAATACAATTAGGAAACAATACAGGAAAGGCAAAAACTAGTTTCTAAATCAAGTACCCAAAGTTACCCGTGCCCTCCGGGTAAAAGTCCACCCAAGCAGGATTGGCCCAGAGCAAAACCCCAAAGCATGCCCCAAGTCTAAAGCACCTTCCAGTGGGGACCCACAGAAAAGGAGCAGAAACAACCAGACAAGTCTGGAGGGAAAAGAGCAAAATCAAAATCAAGATTAAAACCGCCATTGTCACCTCCCCACGGGTCTCACCCAAATCTGTGTCACCCCGTCCCCGACCAAAAGACAAGCGCAGTTTCTTCACGTGTCTCTCGGCCCCACGAGCCTCCTCCAGGTCTCCTCCTGGCTCCATCCTGCTTCCTTCCTTCCTCAGTCTCCTCTGCAGCTTCTTCTCTCCCTGCCCAGCTCCCCCCTCCCTTGGGTGGGGCAGGAACCTGGACCCTCCCTCTTTCCTGGGGACCCCCTTGTTACAACAGGGGTACTTATCAGGTGGGAGCCAGCCCGCCCCTCCCTGCCTCAGCAGCAGGGCCCGGCTGCTGTGTTCTCACAACTCCTTTTGCCTGGGAGGCGCCTCCAAAAGGACCGGCCATTGGAGCAGTGACGCAACGTGCTTCCCTGCGCTGTTTGACACGGCGGCGCTTCTCATCGGGTCGGTGTAAACACCCCAGACCCGGCCCCCCGGGCTTCCTGCCCCCCAGTACAGCGACCCGGGAGTCCTGACTTTCTCCCTGAAATAAACTTTCCACCTTAAAGTTTGCTTCTCTGTGTTACTCACCCGAGCGCCTGCGAATTCCTTGTCACGGCTGGTGGGACGAGACCCCGTGGCGATTCGGGGGCTCCGTCCCCGGCGCGGGGACGCAGCGCCCCGGGGAGTCCGGGAGAGTGTGCGGTGGGGGAGGGGCGGCTCCGCCTTTTCCCCGGGGGCGGGGCCGGAGCGGGCGGGGCCGGAGCTGTCCCGGGAGAGGGCGTTTCTTCTCTCCTGGTGACTACACTGCGCTGAACATTATTCCCGGCGAGCGGGCCCAGGAATCGGCCGCCCTGAGCGCGTCCACAGCCTCCCGCGCGCCGCCGCGATCCTCCCCCCGGCCCCGGCGGGGACGGCCCGGCCCTCACAGGTGCCGTCGGGGGACCCTCCCCACCCGCGGGCGCGGGGTTGGGGGGCGGGGGGAGCCGGGTCCTCCTGCGGGACTGAGGAGGCTCGAGTGGGCGCGGGGTCCTGGGGTTCCCGCGGGAAGGGGTCCCCGGAGCCCCCTCTGCCCGCGGCGAGACCGAGACGCGGCCCCGACGGCGGGGAGGTCACTGCGCCTGCGGGGACGCGGGGCGCGGGGGTCCACTGGCGCCTCTGGGCGGGGAGGCCTCGGCGCTGCGAGCTGTCAGCGGGGTGCTCCTGTGAGAACCGCAGGATTTGAGGGGCCCCGCGATGCTGCCGCGGTCGGAATCTCCGTGTCCAGAGTCCGCGCCCAGGACGCTCGGGCCCCGGCTGCGTCTACCGTATGCTCCTCTCCTCGCCCCGCCCCGGAGCCGGGCTCTGGGCTTGAGGCGCCTCCTTTTTAGGTTTTTGGGTTGTTTTTTTGTTTTTTGTTTGCTTTTTTTCTATTCCCGCCCTCCGTCAGGGGCGCCGCGTGCTGGGCTCTGAGCTCCCGGGCGGGCGCGCAAGGACGGGAGCGGGCGGAGAGCTTGCTGATTTTCTCAATTCTAGTCAAACCGAAAGCCTAACTGTGGAACTCTGCTTCTCACAGTCAGAGGCGCGGGAGGGTGAGAGGATCCACCAGAGCCAGAGCGGGGAGCAGAGCAGGCAGAAGGACCGAAGGACACTGCCGAGGGGAGCGGCGGGCGGCAGGAGAGGTCTGCGCGCCATGCGGGACGCTCGCTATTGACTGAGGATCGAACCAGCGCCGCAGAGGCTGCGGGCAGCTTCACAGCCCAGCGCTCAACCGCTGCGCCACCGGGAAGGAGACTCCAGAGAGAAATAAAGGGCTTATTTAGAAAGGGTTTCCTTTTTTTTTTTTTTTAATAGAGGCATGTTTTATTTATTTATTTGTTTTTGTTTGTTTTGTTTATACATGCACTGGTTTCCAAAGGCAGAGCGCGAGCGCTCCCGCGCGCCGGAGCAGGAGAGCGCGAGATAATTAACAACGAAATTAACGGGCCAAACCCTGTGCGTCCCGCCAGCCGAGGGCCCGCGGCGCCAGCCCGGTCCGCAGACGCCAGAAGCGCCCCAGGGGCTCGTCTCTCCCTCTGGGACCCGCAGAGCGGCTGGTCCGGGCCCCCAGCGCCCCCCGCCCGGGAACCCGGTGCCGTGACCCGGGACTTCCAGGAGGGGAAGGAAGGAAGTTATGGCTGCTGGGGGAGGAGAGGAGCTCATAGTTCCCCTGTCCCCACAATCACACGAACTGGAGAAGGAATTTTATGGTGTTACCCTGAGGAGAAAGGAGACGGTTATTCAAAACATTTTGGGGTTTGTTTTTTCTCTTACCTCGTTCTTAATTTTTGGACAGTGTTTGACTGCCCACCTCTCCTCGGCTGTAGTCCCGGTATTTATCCCTCCACCACAGCAGCCATGACCGTCACCACAGCCCCTGTGCTCTTCACTTCCCACTTTTGTTTTTTTTTTAAATATCTGTTATAGTTAAATACTTGCAAAAGACTTCGTTCCACTGCTGAGCTCTTTCCTAGGTCGTCCCTAGTAATTGGGAGCAGGAATGAATAGTGTCCACTCTGGTTATGTATAAATTCTACCCCAGGTGTGACTCCAGGCACAGGTGACTCTCACCAGTTGCTCTCTCACCCTCTCAGCAGGAATGGCCCTGGCATCTCACACCCTGTGTTTCCTTTTGCTGCTGCTGCTGGGACCAGCCTGGAAGCCTGTGGGCTGTGAGTGTCCTGGGGTCTCCTGCGGAGGAGGGTAGAGGGAGGACCTGAGCAGAGGGACTTGGGCAGGTCTCAGCAGGGGGCGCCTGTTCCCTTCTCTGAGAGAGAGCCAGGGTGTGGTCTGTGCAGACAGGCTCCCCTGGATATTACACCCAGGTCTCCAAACTCAGCCTAAGACACCTTCTGTCCCCTTGAGCTCACAGGAGGCAGCTCACCCTCCTGCCTGCCCAGTCCCACCTTCTCCTCCAGGAGCCTTTCCTGAAATCTGGGACCATCATGAGTTCCACATGTCCTGTGGTGTCTTTTCCTCCTTTCTGTGGAAAGTTCTCTCAGCTAGATTTTAAGTCCCAGGAGAACATACAGGGTCTTATATTTTTGTGCCTCAAAACTCAGAATATGGAGCCTCTCTGATGGCACAAGGGGTTAAGTCACAAACTATGAAGCTATCCACAGCCATTGCCACAGGAGTTTGATCCCAGGCCAGCCAGGGAAATACCCACATGGCTCAGACCTCTCCTGTCTCACCCACTGCTCCCCTAAGCAGTGTATTTCAGTAGATCTGCCATTTATGCACCCCACTCAGTCTCTGGTGAGTTCTCTCAACAATCTCTCCCCGCCCAAACCACCGCTGGCCTGTACCGAGTTCTTGTATGCATAAATAAATAAATCTTTAAAAAAAAAAAAACTGAGACTATGTCACTGAAGATAGTTATCAGTGGAATCCTCCTGGGCACAGAAGCTCTAGGATGAGGGATTGGGGGAGACTCCTCCCTCTGCAGCAGGCCCTGCCCAGGGGTCTTCAGGCCTCACCTGCATTTTTCTCTCATAGATCATCATTCTCTTCACTTCAACCTCACTGTCACATCTCACTCCCCACCTGGGCAGCCCTGGGGTGCAGCCCAGGGCTCAGTGGATGGAAGCCCTTTCCTTCAGTACGACTGTGACAGCCACAAGGTCACGCCTCTGGGTCCCCTGGGGGAGAAGGTAAAGGCCACCGAGACATGGACAGACTTGACCCAGACACAGAGAGAAGTGGGGAGAGAGCTCAGGATGATCCTGCTTGACATCACACTGGAGAAAAACAGGATGAGTGGTGAGTGTGGGGAGGGCCAGGGGGCTGGATTCCGGGGCCAAGAGGGGAGGGAGCAGCCCAGCTGGGGAGGGTCTTTGTGTGAAAACTGAACACTGTCCCACCTTAGACACTCGTGAACCTGATAGGCAAGGAGGGGCAAGACCTGGAGAGAGAAACCCAGGCCCCTAACTGTGCAGAGACACTGACCCCCATGCCCTACTTGGGGGGAGATGGGGCAGCCACAGTGATGCCAGGTGTTTGTGTGTGGATGGCAGGTCCCCTCATCCTGCAGGCCAAGCTGTCTTGTCAGCGTGAAGCACATGAGGCCCTGGTGCATCCTGGGAGTTCAGCATCCATGGACAGAGGGCCCTCCTCTTTGACATGATGAGCAGGATGTGGTCGGCCATTGGCCCTGGAGCCAGCGGGGTCAGGGAGGAGTGGGAGAACAACCAGCAGCTGACAGAGTATTTGAGGAAGATCTCCAGGGGAGACTGCAGTCACTGGCTTCGGGAATTCCTACCACACTGGGAGGATATGCTGGAGCCCACAGGTAACTGAGCAGGGCGGGAGGATGTGGGAACTTAAGGCTCTGACCTTTCTTGGGGGGTGTGAGTGTGTGATTGAAGGTGTGATGGATGGATCATCAGATTTCTTGGTGGACTCCTGTCTGCAGAGTCAGAGACCCCATAGGATTGCACTCCCTCCTGTCTAGAAACATTGGAACTCAAAGTGTTTTCTTGGTTAAAAACCTCTCCCAAATTTCAACTATGCTTCACTTCTGTACCATACAGAATATGGAACAAACTTTTTTCCAACACATTAGTGAAGAGTTGTATTCCTTCCTAAGCATGGGTCAGCTTCCAACATGTCATCCCCTGTGCTTTCACTGTCATGAAATAGATCTGAGACTTTTTAGTGAAAAGAAAGAAAAGACAGGCAGTGCCCAGTGTAGGGTGGGTGTGGAGAGAATGAACCCCATGGCAGGAGAGAGTGTATGGAGATGGAGTCAGTGAGGAGGGTGACAGGTAGTGTGAGGTGAGGGGATGTGTGCTGGGGCAAGACCTGCTTGAAATGTGGACAGTCAGGGATAAGGACCAGGTATTGTCAGATCGATTATGTGCAATTTCCATTTCTAATTCTGAAGAAATTTTGACCCCAGGAAGATATTTTTAAAAAACATCTCTTCCAAGCTTTGCTTAGGGATCTGAGGTCTTGTCTTCTCTCTGGTCCAGCTGGGCAGTGCTGCTCTCCATCACTCCACATTTCTGTGCACTTCTGACCAAAGCTGTGAGCACAAGGCAAGATGAGGTCTGGGGATCATCCACACAGATCTGGCCTCCTCAGCCGGGGTCACTATGTCTTCTCTCCTTGCGCTCATCATTGTTCTTTTTTTTTTTTTAATATTTTATTTTATATAATTCTTACATCATTGTTCATCTTTGCACAATGTACGCATTTTCATTTTGGTTATATTCCCCATGCAATTGCACCCCCCCTTTTACTCTAGTTCTTCCTCTCCTGACCCCTCCTCCCCACCCCCCCACCCCCAGTGTGTCTCTGGTTTATAGTTGCATGTTGATTTTGATTATTGCTTTGTATTGATTAGTCTTTTTCCTGGTCTCTTATTTAGGTTTTCTAAATTCCTGCTATGAGTGAGACCATCTGATATTTTTCTTTTTCTTTCTGACTTATTTTGCTTAGCATGACCCCTTCTAGTTCCATCCATGTTGCTGCAAACTGCATGTGTTTATCTATTTTGATTGCTGAATAATATTCCATGGTGTATATGTACCACATCTTCTTGATCCAGTCATCTATTTTTGGGCATTTGTGTTGTTTCCAAAGCTTAGCTATTGTAAACAGTGCTGCTATAAACATAGGGGTGCAGGGGCCTCCCCGGTGGCGCAGCGGTTGAGCGCTGGGTTGCGAAGCTGCCCGCGGCCTCTGCAGCGCCGGTTCGATCCCCGGCTGCTCCCAGGCCACCAGAGGAGGGTCCCACATGGCGCGCAGACCTCTCCTGCCGCCCGCTGCTCCCCTCAGCAGTGTACTTCGGTCCCTCTGTCTGCTCTGCTCCCCGCTCTGGCTCTGGTGGATTCTCTCACCCTCCCGCGCTTCTGACTGTACCCAGTGCATGTATAAACAAAACAAACAAACAAACAAACAAATAAATAAATAAAATATGCCTCTATAAAAAAAAAAAATAAATAAATAAATAAATATAAACATAGGGGTGCAGGTGTTCTTTGGAATTGATGTTTCTGTGTCCTTTGGGTAAATACCTAGGAGTGGAATTGCTGGATCATATGGAAGCTCTATGTTTAGTAGGTCCAGAAATCTCCACACAGCTCTCCATAGTGGTTGGAAGGGAGTTCAGTGGAGGGAAGGGCCTGCACAGCTTCACCACTTCTGTGTGTTTATTATCTCCCAAGGGCCTTACAGTTGCTAAGTATGTGGAATTTAAGAGAAGTTCATTCCCAGAGTTGGAGGAAGAAGGAAGAGCCCAAAAGTGCTATCAAGACCCAGCTGCTTGGGCCTCCCTGGTGGCGCAGCGGTTGAGTGCTGGGTTGCGAAGCCACCCGCAGCCTCTGCAGCGCCGGTTCAATCCCCGCCTGCTCCCCGGCCACCGGAGGAGGGTCCCACATGGCGCGCAGACCTCTCCTGCCTCTCCTGCGCAGACCTCTCCTGCTGCTCCCCTCAGCAGTGTCCTTCGGTCCTTCTGCCTGCTCTGCTCCCTGCTCTGGTTCTGGTGAATTCTCTCACCCTCCTGCGCTTCTGACTGTACCCAGTGCTTGTATAAATACAAATAAATACAAATAAAAAATATTTAAAAAAAAAAAAAGACCCAGCTGCTTGTCCAAAGGGAGGCGCTGTTCAGCCTCCCTTGCTCCTGCCTCCTGGGCTCCTCCTCCTGCTCCTCATCTGCAGGACACCCCCGCCCCCACAAGGCCCTTCAGCAAGTGTGTGAGTCAGGCCTGAGCAGGGGTGTGCACACACCAAGGGATAGTACTGACCTCACTGTGAGTCAGGAAACCAACCAGAGAATGGGGTCTAGTAGCTCTTCTGAGGTTAAATCATCCTCTGTGGTGTGCCGGGCGGGGTGTGAGGAGGGGGGTTAAGTGAGGTTGTGGTTGTGGGGTGGGGGGGGTCCCATGTCTTGTCTCCCCAGATCTCATCACTGCCAGAGCAATTTCCCATCTCGCCTCCGACATCTCTTCCTCTCCAACACCCTGAGGTCAGCCAATCTGTTCTCACTGCTGGTCCTCAAATCATGCCACAGGCATTCAGTTCTAGCACTTTCCATTGTCAGGCATTCCTGTCCCACTGGACAGGAGCTTGCAGACGTTCAGAGCCCGGCATGCATCACCTCCTGTTGTCTTTCTGACACCCCCGTGCATCAGGCTTCTGCAGATACAGACAGAATATGGGTAGAAACACTGATGTGGGGTGAGTGGAGGGGACACTTGGGGGAGATTCTTGCCCCTCAGCACACATGGGGGACTTGGAATGATCACTGGGGCTGGGCCCTCATGTCTGCAAATCTCATCTACCCTCCATCTGGGGGCAGCAAATCAGGAGGCCACTCTGCCCCTCGTTCCTTTACATGTTGTCTTCGGCAGCCTCTGCACAAGCAGAGGTGTGCTGACCTCGGGTTCTGGGGGCCATGTGAGGGCTTTTGCTGGCTGTGTACTCAGGCAAGAGGGTGAGGTGTGAGGCCCTCAGAATGTTTCAGACCCTCAGGATGAAGATGTGGAGGCCCTGCTGTTCCGGGACCATAGGTGCACCCAGGGCGCCTGTGTCCCTCCCCCCTGCTCTTCTTATCCCCTCTTCCCACTCCGTGTCCTGCCATTTCTTCTGCTCCTTTCCTGGCTGAAGCTCACCTGGGCCACCACCAGTTCCCTGATGAAGGGGGACTCAGAAGAGGGCTGGGCTACTCCAGGCTAGAAAGTTCCAGAGCCTCCAAGTTTCCTTAGGGATCTATCTCAGGGACTCTCACTGAGCTCCGCCTAGGAACACTGTGGCGGATGAGGGAGAAGCAGGACTCAGTGGCTGAACTAGGGCCCCGCCACCATCACCTGCGACCTGCCCCAGAGGGTCCTGAGGGGGCCTCGGCTATCAGCCTTCACATAGGGCCGGGGTCCCTGATGACTCCACTGGTGGCCCCAGCAGGGAGCTCACACACCTGCTGTCCAGCGCATGTTCCTGAAGCGGCAGCCTTTCTTTTCCTGCTCCCGCCTCCACCCCTTGCTAGCCCCATTGTTTTCACTTCCACTCTGGCGGTCAGAGTCCTTCCTTTTCTCTTAAACCTCAGATGTCAGGCCCAAGCACACTCTCCCGAAATCTGTCAGGTTGAACAGCTACTGTCTAGATTCTGTTCTGCTGGAGCCAGACCCTCATGGAGCCAACTGGAGAGCGCTGGGGAGGTGGGAAGAGGGCCATGGGGAGAGGGTGGCCCCACCTCCAGGTCAAGGCCAGTGAACAGCAGCTCCAAAGACACAAAAATGCAAAACTTCCCCCTGACAAAACCCCCCTGAGAGAGAGAACTGAGCCCAACACAACCTCCCCCAGCCCGCAGGGGGCCACTCATGGGAGATGCCTCTGGTGGCAGGAGCTTTGCTGCTTTTGAGTCAAACAGATTTGCTTTGCTTTTGCCTCCAGTACACGTTCGCTGTGCACACCCCACTATCTCTTCTCCTGCTATCAAGGCGCCCACGGGCTCCCCTCCCTACTGCACACTGGGGAGGCCGAGAACTCTGGGGTGAGATGACCAACTGCCGGTGTTGATTTTCACCTTTGCCTCCCTAGAGGCCCCTGATAGCTGCTAATAACTCACCTCCTCTCGCGTTTCCCAGTCTGCAGGCCTGCTTTACTTGTAAGCTACAGACCAGTGCTCAATGTTTAAAATAAAGGACCAAGAAACTATGTAGTGCACATACATAAATCAAGTCTGAGAATGTAAAACAAAATGCTGACGGTGGTTATCTCTGACTAGCGGGTGGTAGGAGGATTATTAGTTCATTTGTTGCTCCACATTTTATCATTTTATACAATAAACATTATTTCCATACTATAAAACATCATTTTGTGCGCATGCTCCCACAGCCATGTCCTGTAGCCCGGGGGTCAGGAAGCCATATTGTCACAGACTGCCCACACGTGAGCCACACCCGGCTCACTCTCCAGACCAGCAGCTGTCCTGGCTCCCCACTCGGCTTCCCCTGTCCCTCCTCCAGGCCTTAATTCCTTCCTCCCCATCCTGCTCCAGGCCTGCCTCCTCCAGGCCTTAATTCCTTCCTCCCCATCCTGCTCCAGGCCTGCGGAGTAGGAAAGGCAAGTCACCAGCCCTGGCAAGGGCCCCAGCCCGAGGCCCCTAACTCCCGCCCCCAGTGGAAGTTTTTTTTTTTTTTTTTTTTTTTTTTTTTAAAGGGGAGGGTAAGAGAATTCACCAGAGCCAGAGCAGGGAGCAGAGCAGGCAGAAGGACAGAAGTACACTGCTGAGGGGAGCAGCAAGCAGGTGGCAGGAGAGGTCTGTGCGCCATGTGGGACCCTCGCCCGGTGGCCAGGGATTGAACCAGCGCTGCAGAGGCTGTGGGCAGCTTCGCAACCCAGCACTCAACCGCTGCGCCACCGGGGAGGCCCACCCCCAATGGAAGTTTAGACAGGAGTCAAGTTCATGTCTTCCCCGTCACCAACTCCCACCATTATGTAGCATGGTTACATAATGCACAGGATCCCCACCCAGCAAACTCCAAAATAAGAAAGGTGGAATATGGAGAAACAGCATTTTATGGCATAATCCATTCTTAGTAAGTACTTAAAAGGTTAAGTAATGACCACAGAGAACATCCAGAAGCCAAAGACGTGCACAAAGCACATGCAAAATGTTGTCTCTTTTTTTATTACTATCTAATTCTTATATCATTTTTCATTTTTGCACATGTATGCATTTTCATTTTGGTTATATTCCCCATGCAACTCCCACCCCCCTTATTTTGACCCTAATCCCTTCTCTCCTCCCCCCTCCCCCAAGCCCCGGCCCAGTGTGTCTCTGGTATATAGTTGCTTGTTGCTTTTGATTTTTTTCTTTATTATAATTAGTCTTTTTCCTGGTCCCTTATTTAGGTTTTCTAAATTCCTGCTATAAGTGAGACCATCCGGTATTTTTCTTTTTCTTTCTGACTTATTTCGCTGAGCATGATCCCTTCTCGCTCCATCCATGTTGCTGCAAATTGCATGAGTTTATATTTTTGATTGCTGAGTAATATTCCATTGTGTATATGTACCACATCTTCTTGATCCAGTCATCTATTTTTGGGCATTTGGGTTGTTTTCATGCTTAGCTATTGTAAATAGTGTAAATAATATTGTAAATAGTGTAAATTGTTTTCATGCTTAGCTATTGTAAACAGAGGGGTGCAGGTGCCCTTTTGAATTAATGATTCTGTGTGTCATTTGGGTAAATACCTAGGAGTGGAATTGCTGGATCATATGGAAGCTCTATCTTTAGTAGATTGAGGAATCTCCACACAGCTCTCCACAGTGGTTGGACCAGTTTGCACTCCCACCAACAGTGCAGGAGAGTTCCTTTTTCTCCGCATTCTCGCCAACATTTGTTGTTGCTGTTTTTTTAATACGTGTCATTCTCACTGGTGAGAGATGGTATCTCATGGTAGTTTTGATTTGCATCTCCCTGATTACAAGTGATGTTGAACATTTTTTCATATGCCTGTTGGCCATTTACATTTCCTCTTTGGAGAAGTTTCTTTTTAGCTCTTCTGCCCATTTTTTTGACTGGATTATTTACTTTGTTTTTGTTGAGTCTCACCATCTCTTTGTAGATTTTTGTGATCAGTCCTTTAGCATTAGTGTTGTGTGCAAAACTGTTCTCCCAGTCAGTGTGGTTTCTCTGTTTTTGTTATTGTCTCTTTTGCTGTGCAGAAGCTCTTTAATTTGATGTAGTCCCAGCTGTTGATCTTTGTCTTCACTATCACTGCTTTGGGTGATGTGTCTTTAAAGATGTTTTTGAGGTGCATGTCATGTAGTGTTTCGCCTATATTTCCTTCCATATGTTTTATGGTTTAAGGTCTTATGTCTAGTTCTTTAATCCATTTTGAGTTGTTTTTTATGCATGGTGTGAGGTAGTAGTCAAGCTTCATTCTTTAGCATGTAGCGACCCAGTTTTCCCAGCACCATTTATTGAACAAACTTTCTTTGCTCCATTGCATAGTCTTTGCTCCTTTGTCAAAGATTAGTTGACTGTAAATCTGTGGGTTTATTTCTGGATTTTCTATTTGGTTCCATTGGTCTGTGTGTCTGCTCTTGTTTCAATACCATGTAGTTTTTATAATTATGGCTTTGTAGTATAGTTTGAAGCCTGGGTGTGATGCCTCCATTCCCTTCTTTTTTTTCTCAGGAGAGCTTTGGCTATTTGCGGTTTTTGGTGGCTCTGTATGAATTTCAAGATGATGTCTTTTGCATCAAGATTTATTTATTAATTTATGCATAGAAGACCTGGGGTGTAGGCCAGAGGTACAGATGGTGAAAGGATCCACCAGAGATAGAGTGGGGAGCAGAACAGATGGATCTACTGAAATACCTGGATCCAACTCAGTCCATAGCATGATAGTGTTGAGACTTAACCCCTATGCCACCAGGGAGACCCCAAGACGATGTCTTTTCTGAAAAGGAATGGAGCCAACTTCGTGAGAAATGGGACTGATGTTGTCCACTGGGAATGTTTTCTTCCCAGGGGAAAACACAGATCCACAGTGATACTTGTGACAAAGGGGATGGAGA